CGCCCCAGGGGGCACGCGCCAAGGCCAGCTGGAAGCTCGGGGTCCGGACCCCCGATGGGACCCCTCCAGGACCGATCGGGTGTTGCCAGAAGTGCCCCTGGCCCAAGGTGCCCCCAGCTCTTCCCCTCATTTTGGAGCCCCCCGGGGGCCCTCTGGGCCTCGTGAGGGGTGCCCTGGAGGCCGTCTGGGCCACCCCGGGAATCCTGGGGGCACCTTGGGCCAGGGGTGCTGCTAGCAACACCCGAACTGAGGCCTGAGGCTCCGGGGATTGGGGCAGAGGACCCGAGGACACGCCCACTCCGTGCCCAAAGCACGGTGGCGGGTCCTCGCCCTGGCTTCGTCTCGGCGGAGGCCCACAGAGGCCCCCAGGAAGGCTCACCCAGCCTCTTGCCCGAGGGATCCGGGGATCAGTCGTTCTCGGAGAGCCGTTCGCCGCGGGCCTCGCTGCGGGCGCTGCGGGAGCGCTGGACAACGAATCGTCCCCGCATGCGGCCGCGTGTGGCCCGCGGGAGGCAAAGGGACAAGGTTAACCTCTAAGGGTCTTTAGGTAACCATCCAATAGGGGTGACTATTTGCTCGGCGACCTTACTGGACTGGGGCCCACCATGAATGAAAAATAATGATTTCTCCTGTTCCTCCTCTTCTTCTCACCCAAGAGGAGGAGAAAAAGGAGGAGGAGGAGCAGGAGCAGGAGGAGGAGGATGAGGAGGAAGAGGAGGAGGATGAGGATGAGGAGAAGAAGAAGGAAAAACAGGAGCAGGGGATTTCACCGCCGAGAGAAACAGGGGGGGTATCACAACAAAAGACCACTAGAAGTTACCCAAACCCCCTCGCGTCATGAGAAAACGGCGGCAGGTTTTCCGCTAAGGTCACTCCGGGGGCCCTCGCCGGGCCTCGGTGCCGTCAAACGAAAACTCGGGACGAGAAGCTGGTTCAGGGGAATGGGTCGAGACTTGCGGAGATCGACGGTTTGAAAAAATCATGACGTTTGCGGCCTGGGGCCCCTGTCGAGGCCTGTCTGGCCCTCGCCCCCCCCCCCCCTGGGGCACGGCTGGCTCCGACTCCCCTTGTGTTCCGGCGTTGCCAAAAAGGCACCGACAGTGGCATGCATGTCAGCGTGCGGGGGTCGAACGGTCCTTCGTTGTCCCTGGGTGCGGGGTCAAGTAATGCCGTTCCGTCCGGCGGACTCTGCTTATGTTGTTGCTGTTGTTGTGTTGTCGTCGGCCTCGCCCGCCACCCACCCCGCGAGACTCACCCGCGACCCACCAAGCGAGACCCACCCGAGAGACCCACCCAGCGCCCGCCCCAGCGTGTTTGCCATCGCGGACTCCAAGTTCTTTTGCAGGCGGACGCCCTCCACCTACAGTCAACCCGCATAGTAAGGATGGGCAGCCGTCTCAAGTGTACCCTAGCACCCTAGCATCCTTGCCTCCTCGGTCCATCCTTCGCCGCTTTCGCTGGCCGCGCCCCGCTCGAAAAGCCTCGAGATGGGCATCCAAGGCCCTTGCATCCTTATCGCGCATTCTCATTATACTGGTTGACTGTAAACCAAATAACCGAAAATCTCTAACGTGGCGCCTTCCCCTCCCAGGAGTTGGAGGCGCTCTGCTCCGGGGCCGGCGGCGGCGCCGCCACTTCGCGCGCACGGCATCGGGGGAGCGGGAGGGTGCGACCCGCGAAGGGAGCCACTCGTCGGGGGCAACGACATGGGGAGTAGGCTTCAGTCGGGCCTGTCCCCCTACAGGGGGCTTTTGGACGAAAAATGAAAAATTGACAAAAAAATACCCCAACATACTCAAAATTTGTCAAGACATCGTACCCATACTATTTTTTGACTATTTGGGGATATTCCTCCGGTGGAGGGACAGACCCGACTTAAGAGTAGGCTCAGGGGGAAGGCATCGACCCCCAATTGCCCTCTGATCGCCGATGGGGCCTGATGGCCCCTTCCCGCCCGGGAACGTGCGGATTTTCGCTATCCAGGGGCGATCGCCGATCCATCGGCGATGCGTCGCCGATTCCAGGTCGATGCTTCCCCCCTGTGACGGTCCCCCTTCTCGTTGCCTTTCAACTTTGGCATCGCTCGGAGGTGCGCATTTGCGAGGCCAGCGCCAGACAATCTGGACTATCCTAGGGCATCGTGGACCACCTTGAGGAGCAAAGATACGCACGAGACAATGCACGGGGCACGGACCTCTCAGCGATGGCAAGGAGCCAGATCTTCGAAAGAGCGTCTTGCGAGTGCGCCCGGGGGAAGTCGGGAGGGGGCGAGGGGTTTCGAATACCCCCCCCCTTCAAACGTCGGGGGGACGGGGGAGGACAGGAGGCGAGGATGGGGGGAGTTTCGAGAGGGGGGGGGCCGATTCCCGAGCGGGGAAGGCTGGCATTGTGCACCCCAGTGAAGCGTACACCGAAGACGCTGTGTCAGACCTCCGGAACGGCCAACAAACAAAATAAATCTGGTGCGAAAGATTGGCCCAAGGGAAGGGATCAATATACCTGGGGCCGCGGGTTCAAGTTTCACATGCCGTCTGATGTCTCGGACAGGATCCCCAGACCTCCGAGGATCTGTTGAGAGAGGGAGAGGGGAAAAAAGAGGAGGAGGAGGAGGAGGTTTTTGTCGGGGCCCCGAGGGCAATTTCCAGAGGTCCGAGCGCCGCACTTTTTGTTGCATGCCCACCGTCTCGCGCCTGGCCGCTGGCCCATGGGGGGGGCCCGTCGCGGATCGGCCTGGCTCTGGGCATGCCGCAGTAAGATGTGCCCGATAAAAGTGTGAGCCGTCTCCGCGTAAGAGCGACTTTTCGCGGGAGTGACCTTTGCCGCGGGCACACAAGAGGGTCCCACCAGCTTTAGTTGGTGCGCTTGGATTGCTGAGATTTTGGCCCCCCCCGCGGTCCCCTACAGCCGCGCACCAAAGGTCACTCTTGCCTAGGGTCACTCGCGCGTGTAGTCGAAAGAGTCATGGGAAGATGCGCTCAAGTCGTGAATTTCTACGACCAGACATGCGACGATGTAGTGCGTTCGATGCGCGGCCCCAGAGGTCCCGACCACTTTCCTGGGGCAGTCTTTCGTCCTGGATCCACTTTTGATGGCCCGATGGCACTGACTCCCCAGGGATTGAGCTTGAAGGAGAAATCGCAAGGGTTTGGTCCAGATCGTTTTAGTTGGAGATCTCTGGAGGCGGCTCTCCCGCCCAGCCCGCATCCGCTCAACACCGGACCCCTCCAAGGGTCCATCCTGCCCAGCCGCGCCTGGTCAGCCAGACCCGAGGAGGCGGAGCCAGCCGCGGCTGGTCGGCCGTTTAGCGAGGAGGCGAGGCGGAGCCAGCCGCGGGGCGACGAGGATGCCTATAGGCACGCGAAGAGCGCGCCCCCCGAGGGCCGCCGTGGTCTCGACTTGGCCCGCCTCCGAGGCCCGGGCCCCCGACGGCGCGATCTCCTCGCGGCGTGGGGCCCCCCCGAGGGCTGGGCCTGTCTCCCGCCCGCGTCGGACGGGCCGGGCTCCGCGCAGGAGCGGTGGCCCAGCACTCGGGGGGCCCCCCCCGAGGGCTGGGCTGGGCCTCCCCCCCCGAGGGCCTCCCCCCGAGGGCTGGGCCCCCCCCCCGAGGGCTCCCCCCCCTCGAGGGCTGGGCCCCCCGAGTCGTCGGCCGGCTCACGGGGCCCAGCAAGGGCCCCGGGATGCGGGATGCCGGAAACCTGCAACCGGCGGCGAGCGATGGTCGGGGGCGGCCGAGAGCGGGGTGATGACTGTCATGGCGCCCCTTATTTCATTATATACGTCCCTGGCCCCCCCCCTGAGCCGCGCACGTGCAGCCTCCTCGTGTTTTCTGAGAGGTGTTTCCTGTGCCTCTTCGGAGAGGGCGCAGAAAACTTCTCAGCAGGCCAGGGGGGCTTCGAGGCCTTCTGAGAAGGCCCGCCCCTCCCCCCTTCCCCCCAGGGCGCGCCGCCGAGTCAAACATTTTCTGTCGTGGCGTCTCCGAAACGCGAGGAGGTCTGGGCTCTGGGCCTCCTCGATGGGACCAGGCCCTTGCAAAAGCGTCCGGGCCTTCCGCATCACGATGGCTCCCCAGCGTAGGGTGATGTCCGCGGGGCCTTCTGCAACACGGGTGACTGCCCAACGTCGGAGGCTTTTCGCTGGGCCTTCCGCAACAGGGTGGGTCCCCAACGTATGAGTTTTTTCGCTGGGCCTCCCGAAACATGGTAACGCCCCAACGTAGGGAGGCTTGCCGCCGGGCCTTCCGCAACATAGTGGTTCCCCAACGTAGGAGGTTTTTCGCTGGGCCTTCCACAACGCGGGCCTTCCGCAATGGGTTCCAAGGAGGCTGTGGGGGCCTCCTTGGAAATCTTGGGGACACCTTGGGCCACGAGCACTGCTAGCAACACCCGACTGTGGGCCTCTCGATGATCCTCAGAACGCGTGTTAGCGCCAGCGTGTGTTGGTCCAACAAAGCCCTTCCATACGACGCATACGGTGTAACGAGGCCAACATGCAAACGGGGTAAACGCACAGTGGGCTAACCCACGTCCTGAGGATCGTCGGGGCTCCGAGGCCCTATCGTAAACATGAGTTCCACGAGACCTCGTCCAGATGCCGACCGCCCCTCTGCAACCTTTCGTCTAGATTTGCCCTCCAGATGTCGTGCATATGTCGGCCGCCCCTCTTCACGGTCTCGTCCAGATTTCGTCGAGCCGTCGATCGCCCCTTTTCACTCTTTCGTCGAGATGTCGTTCAGATCCGACGAAATCCAGGTATCATTGTCCCAGGGACACCTTCATTCGGTAGCAAATCATGAGAGCCTGGGGTACCCTCTGAATTCTCTCTTTAGCGTTGATTAGCGTCTGGGAGGATGCGATAGCGCCGATTTAGCGTCGGCAATCGTGGATCAGCGTCGAATTAGCGTCAATTAGCGTCGATTTAGCTCCGACTAGCGTCGATTTGCAAGAGCCGATAAGATGGTATGGGGAGGCTCCCATGAGCTGCCACTGGGCCTTCAGCAGCCCCCGGTCTGCGGATCCAGTGCTCTCCCCCTCCCCCCCCCGGCACCAGGGGGAGGAGGACGCGGCCCCTCCCCCGCGCGCCGGGGGCGCGCCGGTGCACCGCGGGGGCGGCCCGGGCCCGTGGGCGGAGCTGGGCAGCGCCGCGGTGCCCTTGGAGAGGTCGCTCGAGCGGAAGGAGGACTACTCTTCCCCTGCTTTCGGCGGCGAGCGAGGGGGGGGGCTCGAGCATCGAGGTCCGAGGCTTTTGTTCATCGTGTCGGGCCTCACCCCCGAAAAATCGACCCAGGGTGAATCACTATTTTTGGCGGTGAGCGCGGGGGGGAAGTGAGAAGGATATAGTTGGGGCGTGCATCAAGAAGCCATTCCCTTCTCGTCAGGGTGCTTTGGGTTTCTTCGCTCCGCGCGCTGCGCGGTGACGTCCCGCGGCCGTCAACGAAGCTGCTGCGTTCAGGGTGCTCTGGGTTTTTCCCCTACGTCGCACCTCTGGCGAGGGTCTTCAGGGCTGGGTTTCTTGCGAGGATTCTTGCGGCCCCGCCCGCATTGTAAACCCTTCTCAGCAGGCGGCGGGGCTTCTCAGAAGCTTTCTGGCCTTTGGGAGGTTGTCTGTGCCTTGAGGGAAGGCTCAGAGAACTTCTCAGAAGGCTGGGGGACCTCCGCACCTTCTGAGAAGGCCTTCTCCTTCTCACTGGCCTCGTGGGCGCGCCGCCGCTACCTACCAAACCACCCCAGCCCAACCCGACGGTCCCAGACCCCCCCAAAGTTTCGTGTCGGGGGGTGAACGGGTTCCAGGCTCCTCCTCCTCCTCCTCCTCCTCGTCCTCGTCCTCCTCCTCCTCCTCCTCCTCCTCCTCCTCCTCCTCCTCCTCCTCCTCCTCCTCCTCCTTGTGTCTCGATGTTCCAGAACGTCCCTCCGCTGGAAGTGGGCAGGCCCAGCGGTGACTTCGGGTTTGGTTGGGCTGGCTCGGTGGGTATTCAATCACCCCCCCCTGATGGGCCTGTTTTCCACCACCATAAGTTGGAGGGGGAGGGGGTCCTCCTCCTCCTCCTCTTCGTCCTCCTCCTCGTCCTCCTCCTTCCCCCGGGTGGTGGTGGTGAAAAACAGGCCCATCATCCCCTCCAGGCCTCGGGGAACAATGACATTGACAACAACTCAGAGGTCCGCGCGGATTTCTTGCATCGGCGCTGGAGCCCCCTGACGGCGTCTCCGGCGGCGCCCCTGGCGCGCTCCGCGCGTCAGGGACGGGGGTCCAGCGCCGGTCCGAGAAATCCGCGTGGACCTGAGAGTAGTTATGCATAAGGCATTGCTTGTTCCCCGAGGGCCGCCTGAATGGGGTCGAAGTAGCTGGAGTCGGTGGATCGCGCCGCGTCGCCGATGCATCGGCGATGCGGCTCGATGTGGAGCTCGATGTTCTCCACGCTCACGTCGCCAATGCATCGCCGACGCTGCCGATGCATCGCGGATGCATTCGTATGTTCCGGCCCCATTTACCCGGACCCATTGGGGCGGTTTCCACCACCTCTTCGCGTCGTGAGAACTCAGAGGAACAAGAGGTTATGATAATGTCACGTTCGGAGAGGTCCAGGACTTCCCAGACGTCCTGTTGTTTCACAGGAGCTGCAGAAACGAGGCCGCTAGATATCCCTGGAAATTCTGAAACGCATCCTGAGCCATTCCCGTCCTAAGAACTTAACAAAAGGCCGGGGCCATGCCGTCTCCCTGATTGTAATGGCCTCTGACCGATGCGGCCGACTGGGGGCGGCTGGATGTTTGTGCGGGTTTTTTTTGGAGGCAGTTTTGCAGCCTATTGGCGCCGTTTGGGGGGCCCTTCTGTCCTAGAACTTGATGAGAGGCCTGGGCCTTGGCGTCTCCCTGATTGCTTGCCCTCCGCTCCTCTTCCTTGCAGCACGGCCCCCGCCCCGGAGCCTGGAGCGGCCCCCCCGGCGAGGGGCCGGAAAGGACAAGCAACCGGCCTTCTTGACGATGGAGGTCTGGCGATGGTGCCCTCTGATCTCAGGAGGGAAAAAACACACAGACACAAGTAATCGTCGATTCCCCAGAAAATGTGGAAAAATATGGGAAGTGAGGGGGAAGACGAAAACTCTGGAAATATGCGAAAACATAGGGAATCCTGTTTGTTGTGTCTATTTATTGCGAAGGCCTTACGGCCGATGCCGCCGACCCTGCAGACAGCGACGGTGAAGACAATGGAGGTAATAGAGGAGTCCAAGATGCCCTCAGATTGCTCGAAGACGGCGCCAGATGCCTGAAAGGTTGTCCGAAGACAGCTCAAGAGGCCTCCAGGGTTTGGGAACGGCTCCAGAGAGTGCCAAGATAGGCAAAGAGCGCCCTCGAGTGGCCCTAGAGGGTTCCAAGACGGCGTCAAGCGAGGTCCAAAAGCGCCCACAGAGGCTGTCCAGAGTGCCGCCAGAGGTTGCCAAGAGAGTCTAGAAATAGCGAAAGGTCTCTAAGGAGCCTTAAGATAGGCTGGAAGGACCCGCAGACGGCCCCGGAGGGCCAATGGAGCCCCAGGACGCAGGAGGATGTGAGGCGGAGGGCTGCGTATCCGAGGAGGGACCCCCCCCGGGAGTTGCCCCAGGATCCCCCCCTCCCCGGTGGGGAAGGGATCAAGGGAAGGGGCTTCCTTTCGACTGAAGGACGACGTTGTTCAATTGTTGTGTGGTCGTGTGTAGGGAGCCCTCGGAAAGCAGAAGAAGCGACGACGCTGTGGGGAAAACGGAAAAGCCTCTCCCACACGCCGACAGGGTCGGCGGATTTTTTGATGTATCACCAGTCATGATTGCGTATGGCAGGCTCAGCGCCGAGCTGTTCCTAAGCGGAGGAGGAGGCAGACGAGAGCCAAGAGGAGGGGGAGCAAGGGAGGGGAGGAGGAGGAGGAGGAGGAGGAGGAGGAGGAGGTGCTCACCCGGATCCTCCCCCGGGTCCTCCCCCGGGTCCTCCCCCGGGACCCCCCCGCGCCGCGGAAGGGATCAAAGGGAAGGGGCTTCCCTTCGACTCAATGACAACGTTGCTCAATTTCGGTTTGGACCGAAACGCTTGAGGAGGAGACCCCAGAAAAGGAGAAGACGCTGTGGGGAAAGGGAAAGGACGAGGACGACGACTAATAGGAGGCAGACGGAGAAGCCTCTTCCACACGCCGACAGGATCGGTTGATTTGTGTGTCCCAGGGCCCCCCTTCATGATCCCCCATCCCCCATCCACCCTGAAATCCTCGCGTCTCAATCCTTGTTTCAGGCTAGGCGGTCTCGCCTTCTTTCGGGCCCCGTGGTCCTCTCACAGATCGATGCGGCTCGAAGAAGGACGCAGAAAAGCGGGGTCTGGGGCTCTGGGCGTGATTGTGTTCGATATTGTTGTTTTTTCGCTTCGTCGGATCTCTGGGCAGTCCATCGGGCGGCGACCCCAGGAGGGAAGTGAGAAGTGGCGGCACAGAAGGCTCCGAAGTCCCCCGGCCTGCTGAGAAGTGTTCTGAGCCTTCCCTGGAGGCACAGGAAAAACTCCTCGGAAGGCGCCCAGGGCTTCTGAGAAGCCCCGCTGCTTTCTTAGGAGGCCTTCTCCTTCTCACTTACCCTTCCAGTCAAGACATCCTATCCTGACATCGGCTCCGTCCTCAGAGCCCTACGAGGGGGGAGGCGCGTGACCATGCTTGGTCTGCGGCGGGGCCCTCGCTGGCCCCTTTCACAGGGGCCCTAAGCCAAGGCCGTCCACAGAGAGCCAGCTTGGGAGAAAGGGAGAGGAGAATGGAGGAGTTTCCCAGGGTTTTCCCAATCTGACTTGGTCAGAAAGAGGAGGAGGAGGAGGAGGAGGAGGAGGAGGAGGAGGAGGAGGAGGAGGAGGGAGGAGGAGGAGGAGGAGGAGGAAGAGGAGGAGGAGGAGAAGGAGGAGAGGAGGAGGAGGAGAGGAGGAGGAGGAGGAGGGGAGGAGGAGGAGGAGGAGGAGAGGAGGAGGAGGAGGAGGAGGAGGAGGAGGAGGAGGAAGGAGCGAGGAGGCGAAGGAGGAGGCGAAGGAGGAGGGAGGAGGCGAAGGAGAAGAGGAGGACGAAGGAGGAGGAGGAGGAGAGGAGAAGGAGAGGGAGGAGGAGGAGGAGGAGGAGGAGGAGGAGGAGGAGGAGGAGGGGGGAGGAGGAGGAGGAGGAGGAGGAGGAGGAGAGGAGGAGGAGGAGGAGGAGGAGGAGGAGGAGGAGGAGGAGGAGGAGGAGGAGGAGGAGGAGGAGAGGAGGAGGAGGAGGAGGAGGAGGAGGAGGAGGAGGAGGAGGAGGAGGGGGGAGGAGGAGGAGGAGGAGGAAGGAGGAGGAGGAGGAGGAGGAGGAGGAGGAGGAGGAGGAGGAGGAGGAGGAGGAGGAGGAGGAGGAGGAGGAGGAGGAGGAGGAGGAGGGAGGAGGAGGAGGAGGAGGAGGAGGAGGAGAGGAGGGAGGAGGAGGAGGAGGAGAGAGGAGGAGGAGGAGGAGAGGAGGAGGAGGAGGAGGAGGAGGAGGAGGAGGAGGAGGATGAGGTGGAGGAGGGGGAAGGGGAGAGGGAGGGCTTCGGGGTGTTACAGAGCCTTCGTGTGATCCTGCCCCTTGCATATGTCATGGACATCGGCTTCGTTGATATCGACGCGGCCGTATGAGGCTGTCGTGGCGTTTGCCGCATGCCGTCGCGGCGTCCGCTCGGGATTCGGGCTGCCACCCAGAGGAGCATTCGGCGCAGTAGGGGAAGGACCACTGCAATTTCAAGTTCACTAACGATGTTGGAATAGACCCTCCCTCCAACCTCGCTCTTCATAGGCCCCTATAGGGATTATTTCCACTCAGGGAAGTGCCCCGTTGGGGGACAGACGTACGAACATTCTCGGGCGAGCCAGAAACACCATTCTCAGGATTTTAGCACCACGAGTTAACCTGACTGGAGCATCTTGGCGATCCTAAATCGCGCCATAATTCCATTCCTGGGACTTCAACACCGCGAATCAATGTAACTGTCGGGCCCTGACAATCTAGAGTCGTCCCCAAGCACGGTCTCTGACACGTTAACCATGAGAGTCTTGCCATTTGCGTGAAACCAATGTGCGCAGCACTGGGGCGAGAGCCACATTTTGAGAAGGAGCCGCCCTCACCCCGTGAAGTCTTGCAACCTGTTTGTTGTAGAACAATGCGCCCGGCGCCAAGGCGAGAGCGACATTTCGAGAACGACCTGCCCTCAGTCCGCGAAGCCCTTGCAATGTGCGCGGCGTTGAGAAGGCGAGAACCACAGTTTGAAAACGAACCGCCCTCAATCCGTGAAGCTCTTGCAAATGTCTAAAACGATTGTGAGTGGTGCTAAGGCGAGAGCCACATTTCGAAAACCAGCCGCCCTCAATCCAACTATCCCTTGCAATGTTTAAGCCGAATGCCCGCGGCGCTAAGGCGAGAGCCACATTTCTATTGGAAACCACCCGCCCTCCATCCGTGAAACGGCTGCCAGTTGTTTAGTGTTGGGCCCATGGATGGTAAAGCAGTCTCAGACGAACCGCCTGGCCTTCCCTTCCGACCTGGCGTCGGGGTGCGACAGGGTGGAGGCATTTATAATGAAAAGGAATGGAGAAGGAGGAGGAGAAGGACCTTTTGAAAAGGAGGGGAGGAGCAGGAGGAGGAGGATGAGGAGGAGGACGAAGACAGAGGGGGGCCGGGAGGAGGAATGGCGGGAAGGGGGGGAGGTGGAAGAGGGGAGGTAGACAGGGGGAGCGACGGATGGGAGAGCAGGAAGGGAGGATGGAGCTGGGAGGAAGGAGGGGCGCAGGGGGGAGGCCAGAGGATGAGAGGGCGGTTGTGGAGGACGAGGGAGGCGGGCGGAAGAGGGCAAGGGTGTGACTTAGCAGGGGGCAGGAGGAGGCAGGAACGGCGAGGTCACACAAATGCAGGGAGGAGGGCGGGAGCAGGAGGAACAAGGTAGCAGCGCGCACGGAGCATCGGCGCGGACGGGAGGAGCTCGGGAAGCAAAGAAGAGGAGGAGGAGGAAGAGGAGGAGGAGGAGGAGAAAAAGGTTCAAAGGAGGAGGATGATGAAAAATGATAAATAAACGTTTTTCCCTTGTCCCGTTGGCACGCGCGCCCCTCGCGGCGGGATGCGTTGCGGTGCTGCGTTCGACCCGTCGAGGAGTACGAGTTGTGCTACGACGCCCCTGAGGGGCAGGTGTGCGTCCCCAGCAACAGCAGCAAATACAGCGACAGCGTGGTCTACTGCAGCGCCAAGAAGTGGAAGCTCTGGGGCCCGAGGCCTCCCTCCCCACTCCTCCCCCCTCCTCGTTCCTCTCCTGCCCCCCCTCCTCGTTCCTCCCTGCTCGTTCCCCCCTCCTGCCCTCGTTCCTCCCTGCCCCCCCCTCCTCGTTCCTCCCTGCCCCCCCTCCTCGTTCCCCCATCCTGCCCCCCCCTCGTTCCTCTCCTGCCCCTCCTCCCTCCCTCCCCCCTTCCTCGTTCCTCTCCTGCACACTTGCTCAATATGAATACTACTCTCCCTCTTCCCCTGATGACGGTTTGAAGCTGGTTCGAAAATATTCGACCCCCCCCGCGTACTGTTTTTTACACACAGGTTCCCCCTGAGTTGGGTTTTCGCTTGCATTTTTTTCAAAATGCTGCTCTCGCTGAGGCGCCGGCCTCATTTTCGGGCCCCGCTCGTTCCGAATCGTGCTCCCGCTGCAGCGCTGGCATCATTTCCGCCGGCGCCCGGGCTGCACTCCCGAGCCGGCGCCCGGGCCGGCGCTCGGGCCGGGTCCCGAGCCGGTTCCGGCCGCCGCCGGAAAATCGAGTTCCGAGGCGGCGCCGGAAAAAGGCCATTCTAATATACATGTTTTTTGAAATGCTGAATTTCGACTTCCGGCGCCCGGGAGGCCTCCTGGCCGATTCCGACGCCCCGGCCGGCGCCCGAGCCGGCGCGCCCACGCCGGACGCCCGAGCCGGCGCCCGGGCCAGCGCCGGGGCCGGGTCCGGAGCCGGTTCCGGCTGGCGCCGGAAAAATCGAGTTCCGACCCTGAGCATCCGGCACCCACAGAAAACAAAGGATAAGTTAAGTTTAAGAAACTATGTTAAGTTCTAAGAAACTAAGGTGAACCCGCCAGCAAAACTAAGGTATGTAAGTTCAAACTAAGTTAAGTGCAACAGGGCAGGGCATTTTAAGTACATGCTAAATTTCGGCCTAAGGCAAGAAACGTGCGACGATCCAATACGAGGCCCACCAGCTGTTGGAAACACCGCACAATTTTCGATACATGGATGAGTGTAATCAGAAATATCTGTTCTGTTGCACGTATCTTAGTTTGAACGTATCTACATTCGTTGTGGGGGGGGAGAAAATCACTTAACTTAATTTGAACTTACCATAGATTCTTAAACATAACTTATCCGTCGTTTTCCGCGGTTGCCGAACGCTCTCCTACAAGGCAGCTTCCCGATTGAAGGCTGCAGTGCTTGGCGATCCATAAATTCAGTAATCCTCCTCCTCTCCTCCTCCTACTCCTCCTCCTCCTCCTCATTGGGCCCCTCTCGTTGCTCTCTCGGGGCAATCTTGGGGCATTGCGGAGCCCCCCATGAGCTGTCTCTGGCCGCCTAGCAGAGGGCGGGCATCGCTGACGCCTGAATCGAGACCAGGAAATTTCGGGCATGTCCCTGGGGAACAACCAAGGAGCCCGCAGGGTACGGCCCAAGAGGCCCTCAGGAAAGAACGCGACGGCTCAGGAAAGCCCCAGGACTGCCCCAGCCGAACCCAACCAAAACCCACGAATGCATACCACAAGCCATCTCGTTTTTTTTATTTTGGATGCCCGCGTGGAGTCGTCTTTGGGCCTCAAGGCCCCCCCTCCCGACGTGGGCCCCCATGAGCGCCCAGTGCCGCGGACGCGAACCGCGCGGGGACATCGGCTGGCGGAGTCGGCGCGAGCCGTGCGAATAGTGAGAGGAGGGGGGACTCAGGACGAAGAGACAGCAAACCAGAATCGGGAAATCAGTTCAACAGAAAATTGATCACATCATTATTTATTGTCGTGTGTGTTTTCCACACTGGACGCCCCCCAGAGGGCGTCAAAAAAAAAAAAACCTAAAACCATTGAAAATAAAGCAAACAGAAGACCCCCAAACGCAGCCAGGACGGAGGCTCGGCCCCCGAAGGCCCAGGCGGCCCCAGGACCACGGCCGACAACAAGCTGTTCAGGGTCTTGATCGAAAACGCTCACGCTGGTCCTCCTCCGTCGTCCTTCCTCCGCCCCCCTTCCTCATCCGTGTCATCCACCCCCTCCCGTCCCACGTCCCCTTGCGCTCGTATTATCCGCCGCCCTTGCCCCTCTTCCACCTCCTCCTCATCCCCCCGCCCCGTCTGGGTCGCGCGGGCGGCGGCTGTCCTGCCGCGGCGCCCTCGTCGATCGACAGGGCCACGGAGGGGGGGGCATGATGGTGGCGATGATGATGGTGGTGACGATGATGATGATGATTATTATTAATATGATGATGATTATAATGATGATGATGATGATGATGCTGGTGACGATGATTATGATGGTGACGATGATGTCTGTTGTTTTCTCGTGCCCAACCAAGTGCTGGGCACGCGCTATCACTCGAGGCTGATGCCCCACCGATACTTCTCGACAACCACATTCGGCACCATGTGCATGGTTGTGCCTGCCACTGATTTGCCGCCGATTTTTTTCATGTGCTTAACGAAATCCTCATCAATGAACGTTGCGCCCCTGCGGACGCTCAAGTACTTTGCTCTGTAGCTCATGTGCCACATCCAATGTAGTTTTGGCGCTGGAGTGAACAACATCTGGTCGCGAGCCTTGCTCGCATTCGTGAGCCAACAATACACCCGACAGAACTTATCAGTCTCAGACAAGCAGGAGGCCGCATCATTATCTGGAATGAACGCGTCATTGCTGTAATCATCTATAATGAACTGTATATTAGTCATTGCATCGAGCGAGTTGGCAACCTGATCGTAAAAGTGGCATGCTTTTTTCAGCTTTCCCCAAATGATATGGAGAGGCACAATAAGAGACTTCACCTCACAGCCCTTCCCTTTTAACCTTGGGTAGGCGTCGTTCCATTTGCTAGGGTCGATGAAAGATGTTATTCTCATTTGTGTGAACTGTGTGCCGCTCGGAGAACCTCTGTACTCATCTAGTAGCATTTTCCACACCAGCTCGAAATTCTCGGTCGGTGTTCCGCCGAGGCAATCATATGTCAGCAACCACAGAATGCTGCCAAGATAATACTGTAAAACTCAAAGGTGCAGGATGTGTAACTCGTCGCACTCTAAGTTGTTCAATGATACAAATGGAAACACTGCGAACAATGCGTGAAGCGATGGCTTGCCAGCTCTCCATTCTGCCGCCGTGTGCAATCTCGCCTTCCAAGCTGCCGCGGGGGAGAAATTTGTCGGCCACATCGCTTTCGGCAGCGCTCTGTCGCACGGGCAGAAATCGCACGGGTCAGTCCGATTGTAATTCTTGAGGCCTAACCCCTTGAAGTACCATTCCAAGTCTCCCTTTATGGACCAGATCACTCCGAAAAACGCCTCCTCCTCAGAACACAAGTGTTGCCCTGCAATGGTTGCTTCGCTGGAGAGCGGGTCCCACGGGGCATCCTTCCAATCTGTTGCAGGAAACCGCCCATCATACAACGCCTTCAAAGACCAGCAGATGTGTTTCCACATTGTCTCTGTCGTGTCTTGGACGCCTGGGACGCTGGCAACCTTGTTGTTCTCGAACATCGAGCACAACAAACACTTGACCTTCAACGTCGGTCCCTTAGCTAGAAGAGATTGAATAGATATGCATTCCAAGCTCTCCGACCCAGGCTTCCCCGCCCGAACCACTGGCACGGCGTCGCCGTGAATGGCGAGCGGGACGCACCTTCTAGTCCAACCTGGCTTGAGGCACATAAGGTGATTCTGTTTCCGCGGGTCCCGTCGGCGAACTACCTCACTCCAGAACGCGCGCAAGGTCTCTTCTGATCCGTCTGGGCCCAGGAACTTTTCGTTGAACCGCACTCTGTCATACCTGAAGAGGTACGAGAATGTCATGTGCGCATCCAGAACCTTCACCTCAGTCTGCCGAATAGACACTGCGGTCCCCCTGGGTTTGTGAACTCTCACCCAGGAGTGGAATATGCGAGCAGGGGGGCACGCGGGCTCGCCAATCCAATTGCGAAGCTCCCTGGACACATTACCTTTGTATTTGCCCCAATGGCCCAATGATGCAAGATGCCGAATAGACGATGGCACAGCTTCGTCGGCCTTTTCTGGAACACCAAGTCTTTTGCAAAGTGCGACCATGTCGGTGTGCGCCCGTGCCGCTATTGACTGAATCTCAACGGCACTCATAAACCCCCAGGCCCACTTAATGACCAACTTCCTAGCGAGGTCTGAATCTAAAAGGGCGGCCTTGCCTGCTGCCCCAGGATCGACGCTGGGCTGTGCACTACTGGATATCTCAATTTCTTCGAGTTTCCTTTTGCGCTGCTGTCTACCACCGCCCAATCTTTTCATCGCGTGAACGGTATCTATATGGAGGCGGAGTGTCACAAGATTGCGCACGCAATGCGTGAGCCAAAACGGCTACTGACCCAGTGATGCTGCAATGGATGGAGTTGCCGATTCGAAGGGGGTCGGGCGTGCGATGATTATGGATGTTGCGTTTGCTTGGCCCCGACACGAGCCTGTTGAACGACCGAGCCAAATCGAGCGCCTGCACAGCCCCTCCCCTCCCGCCCGCTCTCGACGGCAAGCGGGCGCGGCGCGCCGCGGGGCTCCGCCAAAGGGCGCCCCGAGGACCTGCCGAAAACCTCCCGCGACCCAGGGGCCGCCCAGGGATTTCAGGACCCAAAAATATCAGAAAGCACCATCAGGGGCAAGTCTGGAAAATCAAGGGGCGATCCTCGATCCTCGATCCTCGTGCGACAACGATCACTTTCGGGCCCGCGTCGGGCACCGCTCCCTCTCCCAGACGTCGAACCCAAGGGGCGAGTGGCGAGGCCGTGTCCGTTGTGTGGGTAATGCATATGCCTTTCCATGTTATGCAGGTTGCCAGTCTGCCAATCAAGAACGCCCTCGAGGTGCAATCAGTGTTTGCTGGATGTTTCTGGCGTGTCGGTGGATGTCAAATCGTTTCGGGCCCGCCCTCGTATTTTTTTTTAGAATCTTGTTTTTCTTCCCCAGTGTGTCTTTTGAAAAGGCTCCGAATACATCAGTGTTGTATGGATTCTGTAGGGGCGGTGTCCTGGGATGT